CCCCCGCTCCGTTCCCGGTAAGCGCAGGCCCGATCCCGGTTCTCTCTTCTCCCTCCAGGTTGCTCCGCCGCGATGGCCTCCAGCGGGGAGGAACCGAGGAACGGTTCCCCGGACCGGTCAGGGACCGGCACCGAGCCGTCACCGACGGCCGACGCCGCTCAGCTGGACACGGCGGAGGATTTTGAGGTCCTGGAAGAGGAGGAGGAGGAGGAGGAGGAGGACCTGAGCGAGCTGCCCCCGCTGGAGGACGTGGGCAGGCCACTGGCCCCGCCGCGGGAGGACACCCAGCCCTCAGAGCAGGGACAGGGGGAAGCGGCTGAGGACCCCCAGGAGTGGCTCGATGTTTTGGGTGAGAGCCCAGACAGGAGGGCGCTGGGTTTGTGGGGCCTCACAGGTTTCCCCGTGGCTCTGCTGGTGCTCCCTGTGCCATGAAGGCTGGTGAGGAGTCAGAGCGGGGCGGTGGGAATCAAGTTTTTTCTTCTCCACTACGGGCTGACATGCCTCCGGCTTCTCCTCACCCAGGGAGCGGCTTGCTCAAGAAGAAGACGCTGGTGCCGGGCCAGGGGGTGGACACCCGTCCCCGTAAGGGCCAGGACGTGACCGTCCGCCTGAAGGCCACGCTGGAGGATGGCAGCGTGGTGGAGGAGAACCCTGCCCTCACCTTCACGCTCGGGGACTGTGACGTCTTGCAGGTCAGGGCTGGGAGAAAGCTCGCCTGGCTTTATCGCTGCCTTGTTTTCCCCCCTGTGGAGCAGGACCTCACCTTGGGGGGCGTGGGGAGGGTTTGGGGTCAACGATATCCCCGTTTGTGGGTCGGAAGCGGCCCCTCTGCCCTTGCTCCCTCCCCATGATGTTGTTCCCTGCAGGCTCTGGACCTGTGCGTGCAGCTCCTGGAAATGGGGGAGACGGCTTTGATTGTGGCAGATGCAAAGTACTGCTATGGCGCTCAGGGCAGGTGAGTGGGGAGGGCATGGAGTGGAGCGAGATGGCCCAAAACAGGGCTGTGAAAGCTGTCCTCTGCGCTCCCGGTGACAGCCCAGCCAGCAAGCCACAGCTTCGTGGGCAGGGAGGCCCAGCTTGTTTGCCACATGCAGGCGATGGCAGCGTGTCCTGCCTGGGGGGAACAATCTACATCCCGCCCTGTCCCAGGCAGCCTCTGTGGCTCTTGATTTCTGGGCCACGGTGCTAAGTCTGTGTGGCCCAGTGGCTGGTGGGACTGGCGGAGGCGGCAACAGTGACGTGGCTTTGTGCCCCTCTGCGCAGGAGCCCTGACATCCCACCCAATGCGGCCCTCACCCTGGAGGTGGAGCTGCTGGCGGCTCAGGACACGCCAGACCTGGAACTGCTCAGCGGGAAGGAGAAGATAGAGCTGGCCAACCGCAAGCGGGAGCGTGGCAACTTCTTCTACCAGCAGGCAGATTACGTGCTGGCCATCAACTCCTACGACATCGCCCTCAAGATCATCAGCTCCAGCTCGAAAGGTACCTGCTCCCACCCAGCAAGGGCCACCTGGGCTCCCTTCCCGCTGTAACCTGGCTCTGGGGTCTCTGTAGTTGACTTCAGCCCAGATGAGGAGGCTGAGCTGCTGGACGTGAAGGTGAAATGTCTCAACAACCTGGCAGCCTCTCAGCTTAAATTGGACCATTACGAGGCGGCCCTCAAGTCCTGTAACCTCGTCCTGGAGCACCAGCCGGGGAACATCAAGGCTCTCTTCCGAAAGGGCAAGGTGAGGCTGGGCACGCGGCAGGCGCTGCCGTCCCTTTTCCATGGCGTGACGGAGGCCAGGACCGGGGGACAGACCTCAGCCGCCCTGCTCAATCTGTATCTTGCCTTCCAGGTCCTGGCTCAGCAGGGTGAATACAGGGAGGCCATCCCCATCTTAAAGGCAGCGCTGAAGCTGGAGCCTTCAAACAAGGTAAGCTGCTGTTGTGTGCTGCCGGTGATCCTGCGAAGCTGGGTGTCTGCAGGACGCTCTCCTCTTGTCTGTGTCCCTGTGAACCTCGGTGTCCCCTGTGGAAGGCTGAAGCCTCCCGTAGCTGTTCCCAGCTTCCTTCGTGAAGGGAGGCTGGAAATAGCCCCCTAAGGGCCTGGGCAGCCATGGGGTGATGCATCCCATGGTGCAACGTCCAAGCTTGGCTGGGCTGGTGGGTCCCTTATCTCCGTGTTGTGAGACTCCCTCTTTGCCCTTTGGTCCTTGCGGTGGCAGGACTCCCTGCCAACGCATCCCTGCTTCAGTGATTCTGTGTGTATGGTCCTGGCTGCTCCAGCTTCCCTGGGTGGCTCCAGCAGCTTGTGCCATGGCTGCTGGAAGTGGAGCAGAGCCAAATCCCCGCAGACTCACTCAGCAGCCCAGAGCGTGATTCACTGGGCGGCAGGAGCAGCCCAGACCTCGGTCCAGCGCCCGGGCCAGGGCGAGCTCTGGGTCAGGAATTTCCTGTTGGTTAATGATCAGCTGCAGGACCAGAGCCTGGGGAGAAATCAAACCCCAGCACCAGGAAATGGCCCCAGCAGGAGCGAGCCTGGGCGACCTGAGGGGAGAGGCAGGGAGGTGCTGCCTGCGCGGGGTCAAGGTGGAGGGCTTGGTTCTACAAGTGGGCTTTAGTCCTCTACTGGGTCTGTTGTTTTATCCACCTCTTTTCTGGGAATTTCACCAGACTGACATGATTTGTGTCGTGATCTGGTGCCTGAAGGTCACGGGTAGGATGGGGCACTGAAAGCAGGTGCTCGGTGGCCCCGCAGCACCCAGAGAGCTCGTGGTCTGAGATCAACCATGGGGAGGGATGAGCAGGATCGTCAAACGCTTTGCTTCCCTGCAAGGTTAGGGTGGGCAACCGTGGTGAGTGAGCAGCACAAGCGTTGCTGGCAGTACTGGGAGCAGCCCCCCCTGTGTGTCTCTAGCACATCACTGTTGGCAGGGCGGCTGCTTGCCAGTCCATTCGGATGAAGCTTTTAATTGGAGAGGGGTGAAAAATCAAAATGCCCAGCAGTGACGTTACCAGTGAAACCACAAGTACAGCAAATGACTGGCCTCTCCGGCTGGCTGCCGGGACTCCTAGGGAAGTGGCCGTGCCACTCCAGACGGCAGCGTTAAACACGCGTCAGTGAGTCACGGGCTATGGCTACTGGTGGTGAAAACAGACAAGAAATGCTCAGCTCCACCTGCCTCGGATGAGGAAACCTGGTTCTCTGGAGCTGTTAGCACTTTTTGGCCCTAACAGACCATCAGCCATTGGGCTTCCTTCTCCTGACCCCTTGGAAATGCACGTTCTGGGAGCGGTGGGGGGATGCCAACATTTGTCCTACACCAACCTGCCAGCCCCGGTGAGCTCAGGGGTGCCTGCAGGCGCTTTGCTGCTTTGCACCGTCCAAAGACATCCAAAGTTTCATGTTCAAGGCAGCGGTGCCAAGCGTGGCATGGTCTGGTGAAGCCCTGGCTGGTCTCCAGGTGAGCCGACGTGGGCCAGAGCCAGTGTGGGTCCCCGGTGACGGTACCGGTGTTTAGGGGAGGTGTCGGAGCTGCCCGGAGCGTGGCGTCCCCAGCAGAGGGCACAGTACGGCCGTGGCGGCGGACGGCTGCGCCACCGAGGCCACCACCACGTCCTTCTTGCCACTGAGGGCTCGGGCAATGGCTGGCGGTGCTGTGCTCTCGGCTCGCTGGCGCTTGTTGCTGCTTTTTTGGGAGCCTCTGAGCTCTGCGCAGGACGCAGAGCTTTCTACCGCAGCACTCCCTTCAGCCCCAGCCATCGCTGCCGCTTGGCACAGCCGGGCAGGTACTGACACGCTCCTGGGTCTTGCTGCAATCCTGCTTCAGACCAGGCTAAGTTTAAGCCCGCTTTCCCAGCTTGCTTCCAGACAGAAAAGTGGGAGAGCTTAGGCATGTGTGTCCTGAAGGCAGACACTTTTCTGTCTCGATTAAAGGATAAAATCCTTTTCCCGATGTCTGGCATCAGCCCTGGGCTCTGATCCCCGCTGCCAGGTTGTGGATGGTTTGGGTGGCCAAAAAGGACAGAGGGGCACTCAGACCTGCAGGGCACCCAGCCTGGGTGTCCGATGCCAGCCTGGTGCAGCCCCTTAGTGCAGGGGAGCAGGGCAGGATCAGGCCATCAGGCCCCCCGGCTGCTTCTAAGCTGTTCTACAAAGCTCCTGCACGGCCCCGGGGTGGCCGGACCTGCTGGTGGTGGCACTGCGGTCCCCGTCCCTTCCCCTGCACTGCAGGGATGGTGCGGGGCTGATACCCGCAGTGCTCTGCTCTCCTCCGCAGACCATCCATGCTGAGCTCTCCAAGCTGGTGAAGAAGCACGCGGACCAGAAGAATGTGGAGACGGAGATGTACAGGAAGATGCTCGGGAATCCCAGCGCTGCCGGCACCCCAGGAAAGTGCAAAGACAAGCTGCCCTGGGTAAGGGCTGGTGCTGACCTGCTGGGGGTGTGGCAGAGCAGGTGGGGGTCACCCCTGGCATGGGGAGTGCTGGGCTGGGCACTGGGAACATGTTGGTGTCCCCCAGGTCCCTGGGGGTCGACGCAGTCCTGCTCCCAGGCCAGGGGGGTGCTGATGTGACCCACAGAGTGGGCTGTGTCAGGGCAGCAAGCCTGCCAGGAGCTGGAGGCCCACACTACAGCAGCCTTGCCAGGAACACGCCGATAGCTGCGGCTGTGCTCCTGGCTCTGTCCGCTGGGTCCCGGCGATGCCAGCTGGAGGGTTTGGACTTTGCTCCCAGCTGCCGCACTCAGGAGCCCGCTGGCTGTGCTGGTGGAAAGCACTGTCAGCTGGGCTGCCGGCAGCACACGTTGTCCCTGCCGACGTGCCGGCCATGCGCTGGGCAGAGCCGAAGCAGCACTTGCCCTTTTTGGGCTGTGTTATCTCGGATGCACATTGGGAGCTCAGTCTGCCCCGTGGCCCCCGGCCAGCGCAGGCAGGGTTCCACATCCCTGCTGTCGGTGGGGCTCGCGGCACACCGCGCGTGTCCCGTCACCTTGCTGGTCTCTCCTCCTTAGTCCATCCCCTGGAAGTGGCTCTTCGGTGCAACAGCCATCGCGCTCGGCGGCGTGGCCTTGTCTGTGGTCATCGCGGCGAGGAACTAAGGATGGCGGCGGGGCGGCCCTGCGGCACAGGACCTGCACCGGGACGTGCCTCTCTCCTGCCAAGGGGCTACCCTGGGGCTCCGCCGACCCCTTCCCGAGGACTCAAAGTTGCAGAAACACAGATGCTTTCTCTGCTGGAGGCGCCAGATCCCCCTCCTTGATGTCCCCCCGTATCCCTCCTGGCGCAGGCAGGATGCAGCTGCAGGGATGGAGCCGCAGGCAGAGCAGAGACCCCCGAGCACCCTCCCGACAATCAGGGGCTCAGCCCCCAGCCCCGAGTATGTCGGGGGGAGGGGGAGCTCCTGCACACCAGTATGCCGTGGCTGTCCCCAGCCTGGTGAGCCCCAGCAAGCACCATGGTCCTGCCGACATGGTGAGACGGGCAGGGGGGAGGCACGTGGAAGGAAGCTGCGTGGGTATGAACTGGCACGGTGATTTCTCTGGCTGGGCCCAACTACTGGAAGGGAAGCGGTGCAAACGTACCCAGAGGCATGTGCAGCGAGATTCCCTGCGTCCTGGGGGGCTGCCAGCAGCTCAGCCCTCCCACAGGCACCCGCTCCCCTCCTCGGCACTTCCCCAGAGCGTGCAATGTCCAAAGGAAGCCAAAGAAACCTGCGGTGGGAGGGGAGCGCTGGAGACCTCCTTTCCAGGCTGTCTCTTGTAGGTGCAAGCTCTCGGGGGTCCCTTTTTGCCCTGCAGCTCTCTCCAGCCCGGGGTTGTCCCCAGGGTCTGCCGCTGTCCCAGTCTCAGCTCTGCTCACGGAGGCGGGGGGTTGTAGCACTGTCCTCCCACCCAAACCGACTGTGAACTTCCCAAATAAAGGACAATTCCTTCACGCCTGGGCCTCTTCAGTGCCAGTGAGGACCTGGGGGGTAAGGGGAGGAATGTTGCTCTCTGCTCTCCCCCCTTCTTGCCACCCTGTGGCTGCAGCGAGGGCTGGGAGCTGCTGTTTAATTTGGGGGGGGACACAAGAGGGGTGGAGGGGAATTTTTACAGACCCCGCACAGCTTTGCCGCAGCTGTGGCGGGAGGGAGCGACCTCTGCGGTGGGAGGTGCTCCCTGGCTGGGGTTGCTTGACTCTGGAGAGCATGGAGCTGCACCCCGGGGGTGACCCCAGACCCTGCTGGGCCTGGGGGGGGACACACACGACGTGGAACCTGCGGCCTACGGGCCCTGCCCCGGGGTGGGGAGGGGGATGCCCAGGGGGAGGCCTGAGCCTACAGGCCCTGCCTGGAGCGGGGGACGACGCCCGGGCCCCCAAGCCGTGCCCGGGGGGGGGTTATGCCCGGGAGACGGGGGATGCCCCCCCGCCGCCCACCTCCCCCGGGGGTCCTCCAAGGCTGGAGGGCTGCACCAAACCACCCTCCCCGTCATGCCCCGCGGCCTTCTTTTGCATATCCCCGCCTCCCCTTCCCATCTCCCAAATCCGAGGCGGCGGCCGGCGTGATCTGGCCAATGGGAGCGCGGGCTGCCCACCTCCTCGCCCCAGCAACAGGCACCCCGGGTGGGCGGGGTTGGCGGAACGGCGGCCGGACGGCTCATAAATAATACATAAGGGGGGCGTGGCGGCGGCGGGAGGCCCCGGCGGCCCAGGCGCGGAGGGGGAGACGGTCCCAAGATGGCGGCGCTGCAGGCGGAGCGCGGGTACGGGCTGTCCTGCGGTCGCCTCGGCCGCGGCACCCGCGTCTCCGTCTTCCACGTCAAGCTCACGGAGAGCGCCCTACGCGCCTTCGAGAGCTACCAGGCTTGTAAGGTAGGGGCGGTGGGGCGTGGGGCGGTGGGCACGGCCACCGCGGCGGGAGGGCGGT